TTTTCCTCGATAAAAGAAGTTTCCGCAGTTGTTGGCTCTTTTTCTCTCTCTGTTCATCGTCGTCAAAGGAATATCTTCTCCTGAAGGACCAGGAGTTGAAGATTCGAAAGGATTAGTTGCTCCGTCTTCATCATCATCGTCATCTTAATCATGTTCTAATAGTGGATCCGTTTCACCTAAATCAGTCATTTTGAATATTGAAATATAATATTACGACAATTGAAAATGGAAGTTAGTGAAATGAACAACCCTTCTCTCGAAAAGAAGACATCGAACGCGTTAAAGTCTGATAGAAAAGTTCACCGAGTCACACTCAGTCCAAATCAGGCATCACCGGGTGAAACTCTTCACATCCCCGTTCCGAAGCTTGACGATGGAGTGGTCTTGGTTTCGGGATCACTGGCATTGATTTTCAATTTGACAGTGAGTGGCCATGCGAATAACTTTTTGGTGAACAATGTCGCGAGAGCATTGGTTAATCGAATGACCGTTAAATTCGCGGGAGAGATATTGCAAGATACGGACGGTTATGATTTGATCAAGCTTTATGAAGACCTCTTCTTGACTGAAAAAGAGAGAGCGAGTCGGATAGCGGAAGGAATTCAGTCTGAAGATCTCTCAAAGATCAGATGTAATGCCGGAGACAAAAAGACTTTGGGAGTCGTGAAAGAGAACAATGTCAATGTTGTATATGGGAACAAATATAGGATTCCGATATTCTGGATGATCATGGAATATTCTTACCAGGGGCATTGAGTGATGAGTTAGTCTTGGAAATGAGACTCGCTTCCGCTGGGAGTGTCGTGAAGGGAAGCGATCCAACTAACCTTGAATATGAATCGACAAATATCCGTCTTGAATATGAAGTCATTCACAGTAAAGATCTCGCGGAAAGGGCTTTGTCAAATTATAAAAACGGGAAGAGATTCATGTATGAGTACATGACTCACCACAAGACGATCTCAATAACGAAGGGAACTGATTCCATCATCAATGAAAGCATCATTGTTCCTAGGAGATCGATGAAGGGGCTCCTCCTCCTTTTCTACGAGCCATACGCAGGGGGAGCGAGAGAGAGTGAGAAGACATTCAATCCCGACATCACTCAAGTAAAAGTGACCGTGAATGGATTCCCGAATAAGGTTTTCAGCCAGGGAATGAAAACGAGGGATATATGGGAAGAAGTGAAAAGGAAGTTCGGAAAGGAGAACAGTTCGATGACGTCGGGTGAATTCTATGCCGGAGACAGATTCGCCTTGTTCGTTGATTTAAGGAGCATGAAAGACAATGAATTGCATGGTTCAGGATTAAGATTAGTGAATTCCAAAGATGGTGTTCAGTTGACCATGAATAGGAAGACTTCAGAGGAGGGTGAAGTAAAATGTCACATCTTCATTTTTTCAGACGCACAGTTCAACATCGTGAATCGCGAGCTTGAGAGTATTGTGTATTAGTGAGCCGGTCATTTGACAGAATCGATAGATCCATCGTGAACGAGAGAGAACCGGTTCTCTACTATCGATGGGCCGGGGAGGAGTTTCGTCAGAGAAGACTTGATGGTTGTCCCGAGGGGTACTGAGTTGCCTCCCGCTTGAGGTTTTTCTGCAATAATTTATTTCATGAAAAAATTATTATTTTTTCTCTTGGAATGAGCTTGCGGATTTTTTTTAGGGTGTTTCAAGGTCAAAGATGGTTGAAATCCTTTGGTCAAGGTCGAAGTAGTCACGAAATCCCAAGGTCAAGGTTAAAGTAGTCAAAAATGGTCGAAATCCCAAGGTCAAGGTCAAAGTAGTCAAAAATGGTTGAAATCCCAAGGTGATGGGCACGTTTTGTCCAAGAACCTATTGTTAATTAATTATAACATGGATGTCCAATATCAAAGATGTACTTATGGTAATGGTGCTGCTCTCTTATTTTGCAAGGCGTACGGAAGTACGGACAGTCACGTGACAACCAAAATTTTTGAGATCGATGGGTTACCAAATTTTCTAAGGTATGGGGCTCCGCTCGCGCGCCTTCGGCGCGCAGGAGCTCCGCTATTAGACTTGCAACCGAAATTCCCGGATTCCACCTCGGTACCATGCTGAGAGATTCCATGAGATAGCAAGCGCATGCGCCAATCAGTGCAACGTTTATCGCCGGTCAGGTTGGTTTTTACTGCTGTATACGAGGATTGTTTCCAAAAATACAGCTTTATTCAGCACTTAGAATGGACGAACCATTGCAATTAACAAACGCAACTACCACAGAGAGTTTGCTAGAGCTCGGCTCAGTGTTGGACTCCAGTTTGAACGACTGGAACGAAGAACGATCAGACTTTAACACTGTTCTCAGCGGTCTCACCCCTCACATATAAAAGGGACAGTAAACAAAGCAATGATGCCATTCTCTCGAAGCTGTATAGCAGTTTAGATTTAGCAATGTTTACTGTTTTTGTCTCCTCTTACTCCTATTCTTCAGCGCGGTCTCGTTTCTGTTGTCTTTCCCACCCTACCCACCCTTGTTTGCTATAAGTTTTAATTTCTCAACAGATCGAGACTGTTGGTGCCCACTCTCAACAATAGGTGCGAGGGGTACTGATGAGAATGGATAACTGTTGTTAGCTCCCGTCTGGCCGACACAGGTTTTGTGGCCCCGGCTACTAATCCTTCTGGTGGCAAATCCATTAATGCTCCCACAAGACAAGGACCTTGTCATCCTTCCATAATCAGGGACTCTACATCCTCTAAGAAACCAAATGAGACTGACGGTATGCCTGTTGTCAGGCAATACTATGAAACAAGAGGAGTATCGAGGTCATCTTTTGGATTGCTCGTGGCATCCTGGCGAGGAGGTACTAAGAAACAGTACTCCGGGTACATCAAAAAATGGACAGCATTTTGTCTCCAAAGGAAAATCAATCATCTTCAACCACCTGTAGTAGCAGTCTTGGATTTACTTTCTGAACTTTTTGACCAAGGACTTACTCACAGTGTTATCAACTGTGCTAGAAGTGCATTGTCTTCTTATGTGTCTTTGGATGATGGCTCTGTAGTTAGACGGAACCAGCTAGTTTGTCGCCTGTTGAAAGGTGTTTTCCAGTCACGGCCACCTAATACAGAGGTTTGGGATGTCCAAGTAGTCTTAACATACCTGGCTACGCTTCATCCCGTTGAATCATTGACACTTAAACAACTCACGTCAAAATTTATAATGCTGTTGTTATTAGTATCGGGCCAGCGAGGCCAGACTATTCATTTGTTAGACATAAATCACATGCTTGTGAGTAATGACAATTAGACATTTGTCATCCCTAACCACCTCAAACAAAGCAAACCAGGGGTATTTAACCCTCAAGTTGTTTGCAATCATTTGAACGACCCTATATTTGTGTTGTTACTACGCTTAAGGAATACCTTGTGAGAACCAAAGCATTGAGAGGCAGCGGCCAATCACAGCTGTTAATAAGTTACGTTAAACCTTATAAGCCTGTAAGCAGGGATACTGTAACTAGATGGGTGCGATGTACTTAGGCTTTAGCTGGTATTGATATAACAAAATATTCAGCTCACAGTTCCAGAGCTGCGTCTGTTTCAGCAGCCAGCAGGGTTAATATAAACCTAGATGACATTCTCCAAACTGCAGGGTGGTCATCTGAATGCTGCTTTGCTCGCTTTTACAACAAACCTATAGCTAAGGTTTCGAGCTATGTAAGATCAGTCCTGTCGTCTATGTCAAATGTATCATTTACACATTACCATTAAACATACATGTTGTTTCTTCATGTCTGTGTTGCTTTGTAGTCTCATGGAATCTCTCAGCATGGTAACGAGGTAGAATTTAAAAATTAAACGACACCTACCTGTAAGTTGAAGTTTGATTGTGATTCTACCGAGTTACAGGATGCTGAGAGATTACATGCCCAATTTTCCTACCCACCCCTGTGTTGTTGGGTAACACGTACATTCAGTCTTTAAAACCTGATTGGCGCATGCGCTTGCTATCTCATGTAATCCCTCAGCATCCTGTAAATCGGTAAAATCACAATCAAACTTCGACTTACAGGTAAGTCTCGTTTCATTTTTAAGCGATGACGTATTGTGTGACGTCATCGCTTTATGCTGGCATGCATGCATTCCTTTGGATAGTGATTTCGCATAGTTTGTCGCGCTTATGTCCGTGCGCTTATGTCGCTCACGATTTATCACCCTGTGGAAGCGAAATGCACTCTGGGAGTTTCTTTGCTGCTTTCTTTTGCTGTTTGTAGGTTCAGCGGAGTGCTTTTAATTGGAGCTTTTAAAAGAAGAATTAGGGGTGGATTTTGGTTTAAACAGTATCGAATAAATTTGCGTTCATGGGCAATCTCATAATAAGAACATATCCTCCATACATACAAGTTAAGATAGACAAGTAAGTCGCACAGGCGATAGGTGAAGGCTTTGCGGCGTTCCTTTGCTGTTTGTAGGATCAGCAGACTGCTTTTAATCGATATGACAAGTATACAGTTAAAACAACAAATTAATTTCCGGTGAGGTAATAAGTGTTGCCAAATATTTTTAAAGATAACAAAGTGTCGATGTAGGATCAGCGCAGTGCTTTTAATTTCAGTTTTTAAACGAAGATTTGAGGGTTGATTTTGCTTTATACAGTGTCGGATAAATTTGCGCTCACTGGCAAACTCGTAATAGGAACATATGGTCCATACATACAAATTTAGATAGAAAAGCAAGTCGCACACGTGATAGCTGAAGGGTCTACATAAAATTCACGGATTGGTAGCGCAGTTGTACTTTTGCCAGTCTTGAAGTGAATTGAATGAACATTGTATGAGCACTGAAATATACAGTTTACAGTAGTGATAACGAAGTCAGGGTACGATTCATTTTCAGTTTTCAGTTTTTTATGAAGTTTTGGAAATGTGCTGTTTTATATTTCCGTCACCGAAAGAGTGGTTGTGATTAAACAATCGATAATCGTTTTCACTAAAAAAGTTAACGTTAAAAAGCAACGACGTTTCGACCGCTCGACGGACGTCATTTTCAAGTTGAAAAGTAAAAGTTTTGCATGCGCCCAAATATATACAATCGATTATAACAATGCTAATGAGACACTGACTAAAACCCTAAAATATTTACATGGAAACAATACAAGAAAATTGCGGCATGAGTAATAAAAACGTTAAGGCGATAAAAACGATTTAAAAATAAAATAATTAAAATAATTAAGTAAATAGCTTCGCGCGGGTCGAGTCACTCTGTTCAATTTTGGTTGAAGTTTACGAATAAAAAGCAATTCAAAAATCAAACAGTCGAGTTTACTCTGACATTTTTTCAAAATCCTGAAATTGTTTCCAATGGTCTCTGGATCCTTTCCGTGCTCATCCTTCACGTGGTTGCCGATTGTTGATCGCTTATGTTCCTCCACGCGTTGATACAGGTGTCGACTCGTGAAGCCGA